ACAAATTCTCCAATCTTCTTCGACCTTCGAACATCGCTGATTAAAGCAGGCTAGGGCTAAAATATTCTCCGCATAAACTATCGTCTAATTCTATGTTCCTTGGGTTGGAGTCATTTCCTCATGGTCTAACATAGTCAGACACAAAAACTACTTAAAAATAACGATTATTGGTGATTTACCAAGTTTTACTAGTCGCAAATTTATGTTGTAACCGAGGAGCAGAGAACAAATAGGCTCTAAATTAGAGCTTGTCAATTTATTATTAAATTGTAAAATAAAAAACTGACTACGATCTAAGCTTCTACTAAGGAGCCAAGCTAACCACTAATTCTGTCATATTTCTTAAAGCTAAGTTTACACTAAGATACTACAGTTGTCAATATTTTTAGAATAATATCGATTTTTTAAGAATAAACAGAAGATATCGGTTTATCGATATGAGATATCGATGTCGAAAGATATCCTGAATTAAGGCACTGTATCTCGCTTATTTCTAACATTTAATTTACTTATTTACTGAAGAATGTATATTATATTTTACCGCGTTGATGCATGCTTTTGACATTTATGTACTTATGGGAAAGATTTCGCTAACTACTAATCTGGGAATCCTTGCTTCCTCCTCCTTTATCGGATATTGAAGAAATTATAGAAAATCGTATTTGCAATAATTTCAGTCTTTACAGTTTTTGTCGAAAAGCTTGAAAATGGCGGGGATATGGAGCAAAAACGGTTCTCCTTTAAAATTAAAATGACGGTTGACGCAACGGCGGAATTCAGTCACAATTTTAAATTTAGACCACTATTGACTCCCCCTAAAGGTTATAATATTAAAGTTTGAGGTAGTTTGACATGCTACGTCAAATGCTATCCCGACTGGAATAATTATGCTTTTTATAATATTTATAATTTGTCAATTCATGAAAGATATATTTATGTTGAATGACATTTTAGAAATTTTTGCCCTTCTTTACTATAACCTACCATTATATTATTTATCTATGACTATAGCAATCAGTTATAATCATTTTACGTTTTAACAATTATTAATAGATCCAATTAAAAATAATAGACGAGCTTTTCGTGGAATATATATCGGCAATTGAGATATTTGCATTTTTATGGCAATCCTTATTAGTAATGTTTATGAAAAACTTATGCAAATCAGGATAAATAAAGCAGGCGTGAAGAGTTTAAAACAAACAATGGGTTTACTATTAAATAAAATAATACAGCAGCTAAATAAAAAACTTAACCTTATCTGGAATAACCTTAAGTTTAACAATTAAATAATAACACATTTTAAACTGTAAAGTGGTAAACTAAACAAGAGATTTTCATTAATGACGACATAGAATTATCATTATTACCATCCCATGTTTATAGAACCTCTGAGAAGACTCAGATGAACAGCAGGTCCTACCGGACCTCGTTCCTCTGTATATAAAATGGAGTAAACATATCTTTTTCTCTTCTTGATGTGCCTATTCGTTACGAATGTTGGCGATCATCATAACAATCCTTATCTAATCAGCAGCAGCGCGGAAAAGCTGCACATATCTTGTATTAAACCAGATTCTGAGGTTCTTTAACCAAGATGTTATTCTTCTTCCTGGACCTCGTTTTCCAAATATTTTTCCTTACAGGATCGCTTGAAGGAGAGCATACATATAGCTGGTAAGCTATAGAGTAAACATATGAAGACACATGGAGAGTAAACATATAGCTGTTTTCAAATGTAGTAGTGATAATTTCTTGGCCCAGTAATGCGAAGCAGTGGCGTTCCAAAAAATACTTATGATTTACAATAGGTCAAATTATTGATTGTAGATACGAAATAGCTACAACGTATTATGAAATAAGATTATATTTGGTAACATTTTTGCATATTTGAAACAACACATATTAAAATAGTTCTGAAACTGTTTTCTTGTGGCATTTCTAAGCTAAAAATAATGTTTATATAGGATTAAGCCGCAATTGATTGAAATGAGAAGTACATTTTTAACTAACGTTTGACGTTTCGATGTCCACTCCGGAAATCGTTTTCAAAAAATGTATTTTAAAGAATAGTGTAGTATATACACATATGCGTCTATATTCTTTGGTTAAGGATAATAAAATAAAATTGAAAACTGTAAATCAACGGAAGATCTGTCATTACTTTTGACAGAATAGACCATATATCAATAATAGAATAGTAGAAATAGATATTCAACTCAATGTGTAATTTTCGTTCATTAGGACCTCTTGCGGCTGGGCCAATACTAATAATCTTTTGGCGGCAAATTCGAATGGACACCTTTTACATACATACCCTTTAGCGCCTCTTGCGGGTTATTACGTTACTAATTAAAATTTACTGGAAAATAAGGATATATAAAAGAGAGAAACAAATGTTAAATACTATTATTGTTTGCTTCCTGACAACTTACTATCATCATCCTTTTTGTAATTTTTCCATGATTTGTACACAACGGAACAATACAATAATTATTCACCATGTTTAGTTTTTTTACTAGCACAAGACAACAATTTTTTGCTACAACGTGTAACTCAAACTAAACTTTAAAAACTAAGTAACCCCCTTACATTTAAATTACTAAGAATAAATGCAAAGGAAAGTTAAAGATAATAAAATAAAATTGAAAACTTGTAAACAAACGGAAGATCTGTCATTACTTTTGACAGAATTGAAGCTTCGTTTGATTATTTTATTGACACCCCGAGACTGTGTTAAAATTAATGATTGATTAAAGTCTTCTTGAGAGAAATAGGCTGTCATTTCTCTTTATTAACTCGCTGGGGTTAAAGTGATGGGGGAATGAACCAAGGTCATTCATATAAGGTGCCAGGGCATGGAATAGACATTGCGGAATGATGCTTCGTTTGATTATTTTATTTGTGACACCCGAGATGGTGTTAAAATAAATGATTGGTTAAAGTCTTCGTGAGCGAGATAGGCTGTCATTTCTCTTTATTAACTGACTAGGGTCAAACTGATGGAAGAAATTCCCAATGTTATTTATATAAGTTTTCGGGTATGTTCAAAAGGGCGTGCTTTGTTATCTTTGGCTGTTTATTCTTCTTTTTAGTCATTGTGATCATTACCATCAAATAGGCATCGTTCTGTGTTTGCACTGTTTTGAGCGTCCGCTTCTCATATAAATAGTAACGACGCATATTGGAGAGCAGAAACCATGTTGGAGTTCTATTACCCAGGACTCCCACATGAAGAGCATTTGGCTGATTGATGTGCTTTATAGCGCATCAGAGTGCTATAGGGGGAAAGGGATGGTCTGCAGCATTGGAGTGCGGTGGAGTGACTCCTGTTTTTAACTGGTGTTAATACACCTCGCCTTTTGTTATCGGATCATTATTGACAATTAGTTGTATAGCGCCGAGGTCTTGTTTACTAACCACAAGTAACTTTGTCTGTTGCTTAAAACTATAAAATTCAACAATAAAATACCTAGTATGACATCAGTAATATATCTCTTTTTGGTTTTCACAGAAAATGGAAGAGAGCGACGATAACTACGCAGTGCAAATAACCGACGTAGACAAATTTTTTGGATCAAATATCGTTTTAAGTAAGCTGTGTATGAAAGTGCAACGGGGAAGAACGTGAGTATCCTTACTGATATTTAACTTTTATAAAATAAAACGATAACGTTATAGATGGATTCAGTTTATTATTGTTAAGTTAGGTTAAGCAAACGAGAACATTAAATTTAATTGTTATAATCAAAATTTTATCAAATCTAAGCGTTAATTTTGTTTATTATAAAACCTCTATCACGATAGTGGGGTTTATGATAATATATAGATTCTACTTCTTAAGGTGCCCTTTCCATTACTCAAGGTTGGCTATAACTACAGCATATTGCTCTATATATTGAGCTGTTCTTATTATCGAATGTGTATCCATACATGTCCAGTCTCTTACATTCTTCAACCAGGAGCATTTTCTACTTCCTGGACCTCTTCTTCCTTTCACTTTTCTCTGTAAATATGTCCTAGATAACTCGTTTTTCTGTTTTTTACAATATTTAGGAGTTTTCTCTCAGTACCCATTTTTCTTAGCACCACGTTGTTGGTCACGTGCTCTGTCCAAGAGATCTTCAGCATCCTTCGAAAAACCCACATCTCAAAGGCTTCTATACGCCTCATACTTGTAATTCCGAGAGTCCATGTTTCCACTGGTATCGGATATCCAACGATTACGTAGAGTTTATTAGGAATTTTTTTATTCGTTGAAATGCGGACCTAACATATTCTATACGAGCACGTATTTCGACCTCGTGGTCAAGATCGTTTGTTATCCGGCAACCAAGATACTGGAATCTTTGTACTGGTTCTATATGTTTGCTATCTGTTTTATTTGTGTTTATATTTAGTCCCAAGCTATCTCCCTCTCTGGTTATGACATTCAAAAGTCGTCGTAAACCCTCAGCACTGTCCGCAATAATGACGATGTCGTCTGCGTATCTTAAGTAATCTAATATATCTATATAATCTAATATATAGATACATGTAATTAATTTTTTTAAATATAAATATTGCTCATACAAAAGACGGGATATCTGAAGGGTTCTTTTATATTTTTACTTTTGTCTGTATGATGATTGAAAAATAATGTGTACGAAAAATAAACAGACAAAATTTAAAAATATCAAAATTAAAAATAGAAACCCACGAAAGTGTAAAGAAAATTTAGATAAATATTATTTTATACGGTATTATAACACAATTGATTGTAATGAGAATTACATCGAGAGTCATGAATCGATGTGGCTGTTTCGTGCCGCTACCCATCACGCCTTCTTGTGGCGCTAGGTCCGTGACGCTTGCCTCAGCATTTTACTATAGAGAAAAAAGTAATAAAACGCCAGTATAGAAGTTTAGCTTAAAGTGTTGTTGGTGCATAGTGTTAATAGTTCCATTATATATCTAAATAGGGGATGAATATTAATTTAAAATATTTGTTTTTTTTTCAGATATGGATTATTGGGTGCAAGTGGCTGTGGAAAAACTACATTGCTAAAAGCAGTAGTTGGTACTTCTAAGATAGATAGCGGAGAAATCAATGTATTAGGACAATTAATCAGCGAAGGAAATAGTGAATTTCCAGTTGCAAAACTTGGTTACATGCCACAGGTAAGAGAATTATTTAATATTATTGAATAAGTACATTATACTTATTAATTAATTCGTTGCAACTAGATATATATGTACAATTTTCCAAGAAGTTTTTTATTTTTAGGATATTGCTTTATGCGGAGAATTCACAGTACAAGATGCCATATTTTATTTGGACGTCTGTTCGGCATGGAACATAAAATTATATTGGAAAGATACGATAAACTCTATAATTTATTAGACCTACCACCACATAACAGGTAAATATTAGTATAGTCCGCCTAGAAAGTATCCGAAATCTTATATTTTTCCTAATTTTAATAGATTTCTGTAGATAGATTTATGTAACATTTTAGGACAAAAGTAATGCGTCAATTAAGTTGTGCTGATAGTAGATTATGGACAAAATCGCATGACAACACCATCTGTCAAATATTGTTGTTGTAAACAGACTTAAGATTTGTTAAATAATGTCGCAAGTAGAAAAAAGAAAAGTGGTGGAATATTTGTATAGAACGGGTGTCCGAAACGTTAAAAAATTAGTGCAATTGAATGAACTGGTAAAAAGTGCAGTGTATGAGTAATGAGTGCAATAAAGAGTATAAAAAATGTGTCATACATAGACCAGTTTCGGGTAGACAACGTAAGATTCGCGGAAACAATTTAAATGCTTTAGTGGCTTTAGGACGACAAAATCCGCGCCTAGAGTTTCGAAAATTAGCAAACAGATTTGGAAATCATCGAAGAATAAAAGTGTGCCCAGAAACTGTCTGCATGTCACTGAAAAAGCAAGGCTACATATCAAGGAATCAAAAAAAAAAACATTCCTAGAATGACACCTCTGCAAAGGCAACGAAGAATAGATTTTTGTCAACGTATTCGATAAGATAATTTTAATATTATCTTTATATCTGATAAAAGTTGTTTCCAGCTTGGCACAAATCATCTAAAAGTCCTATCAAGAGAAAATGTTACCGTTCAAATTTCCAAATTTCCCACTAAAGTAATGGTTTGGAGAGCCATATCTCAGCGTGGTGCTATGCCTCTCTGTATTGTTGATAGTGCGAAATATTGTGACATCCTAAATGATTTTTTTCTTGAAACAGCTTATGTTTTATATCCAGAGGGGTGGAGTTTTCAGCAAGATAATGCAAAATGCAATACTTCTGCTTATACTTTCAAGCATTCAAGCTTCGACGTAAGAACACGAATTGGCATCAATTCCGTGGCCAGCATCTCCAGATCTTAGCCCCATAGAAAATATACGGGGACTGATGAAGATTGAAGTGGAATGAGCAGCGCCACGAGATAAAGGCTTGATTCGGTCAGTTTTACAGGTCTGGAAAACCATTACCCAAAATTATGGCATTAACCAAGTTTTGGGTGTATCCAATCCACTTTACACAATAATCGTTACAGATGGGTCAGTTGCTAGTAAGGGCACAGCAGGATTTGGTGTTTTTTGTCCTGACTTTGAATACCAATACTCTAGTAAACTCCCTACGCAGTTTGCACTGCGGAGATTATTGCAATTAATTATGCTGTTCAATTTATCTTGGAAAAGGTTATCAAGAGGGCCCTAATCTTGTCTGATTCTAAGAGTTCTATCCAAAAGATAGTGAAATCATCTTACTCAATGGAAACTGAACATACTTCCATCATGACCAAAACGGGCTTTATAGAAGACAATCAACAAAGCATCAGTATTATTCTGGCATGGATTTCAGTGCATTTGGATATTAAGGGCAATTGTGTTGCATACAAATTGACAAATATAGGAAGATCACTAAAAATGCCAGCCAAAGTTAAATTGCATTATTCAAAATACTTATTTTATATTATATAGCTAATTTGGACTCGATGAGCACAAGAATGGAATTGAAACAGATCAAAAGGGTCGTTTTATAGTAAAATAGTCAATAAATGGAACAAATCACCATGGTTCAATCAATTTCCTTATAAAGATACATATCACTACAGTAATTATAATGAGAACAGGACATTATTAAACTCCCGCTCATTTATTCCGCATAGGTATTCGGGACAACCCATACTGTGAATTTGATCAAATTGGATCTCTGAATCATATTATCCTAGATTGTCCATTAAACGTTTCTTCAAATTTTGACCTCTACAAAGAATTGGTTGAAACAAAACTACAAACTCCTATAGAGATTTGCTCTCTTCTATCCAATCTTAATCCTCATAGACTAAATTTGTTGATTACTTTTCTTAATCTAGCCAAAATCAATCTCTAATATATATTCCTTTCTTATGTTCTACTGTAACATAACCTTACAAATTCCTTTATTTTTTTACATCTGGGTTCTCTGACTATCATCTGTTGGTAGCATTTCTGGTATTCTGGTATTCTGGTGTTCTACCCTTGGTTCTAGCTTGGTTGCTACCCTCAAACGAGAAAAGTTTTATCCAGTGTTGTATCGTCTTTCCTATACTAACTGTTTGGCCCAAGAAGAAGAAGAAGTTTGAACATAGTGTTCATTCAATAGAAAATAATTTCAATTTAGTGTTATATGAGGATATTCGATTGTTTAGAGAAAGTTGAGAACATCCCCCCTGGATATTACCCAATAAAGGAAGAAGAAAAAGAAGATAAATTTATCTATAACCTAATTTTAGAATTGTCATTTGTCAACATATATATTTATTAAGTGTCATAATATAAGTCCAAATATGCCGTAGTAGAAACAACTTAATTAAATCAGTGATTTGAAATTTTCCATAATGATTATTGACATCGAAAACAAAGCTGACTTTCAAACCCGTCTAAGAGAAGCTGGCGACAGCCTAGTAATACTCGAATTCGCAGCCAGTTGGTGTGGACCTTGCAAGATGATCGGGCCAAAAGTAGAACAACTAGCAAAACGATTCCAGGACATTCTCTTTTTTAGGATTGACGTTGATGAGTTCGAGGACATAGCTGTTGAGTACGATGTAACATCGATGCCCACCTTTGTATTCATACAAAATAATAAAACGTTGGAAACTTTGATTGGAGCTAACAGCGAAAAACTGATACATGCGGTTAACACGTATCATTCGCTTTCTGACTAACATTTTTTTTTCAGCAAAATGATTATTAATCAACAGTTTAACAAAAAATAAAACTTTTTTATAAATAAGTATTTTAGTGTTTATAATCTTTTTCTGGGGTATACAATCTTGAACCTCAGGACGAAAAGTCGGTAAAAATCAAATTCAAAACACAGAAGAGCCAAAACTAGATATTTTGTTCAGTGGGTTAGTGGTTTTAAGTTGTTAAAAGCATTTTTGACAAAAAATGAATGTAATAATATAATCCTAAAATAATGCATATATAAGTAAAAAAAATAATGGAATTTTATTAAATATTAACATAATTAAAGACCCATATTAAAGTCACTGTTGTCTTTTGCTAGGTTGTTGGGGAGATCTTTGAAATTCTTCACCAGTTTTGATTTGGTGAGTGGGCTTTTTACGGCTGTATCTATATAAATGTTGATTCTCTTAACTTTGGGGTCTCAAATCAGGATTTAATCAATGGTAGCCACCAACGCAAAAACTTCAGCCTGGAACTAGACTGGACTAGACTAAACCATATTAAATTTCCATTAATGTTTAAGACCTTTTGTACTCCAGATGGTATAAATGTTTTAATCTTCCTAATGAAGGTTAGTTCTGGTGTCATATCTGAAAGATAGATACCTTAAGTGTAGTTTTAGTAGTGTTTATGCGACTATTAAATTCATAACTCGGCCTTTAAGTATTGTTATCTTTAACAGAGTATCGAACCATGTGTAACTGTCGATCACTAATGTGGTCTATCAGTGATCTGTATAACAAACGACCTTTGGCTTCATTCCCCACGTTTTACATATAACTCTGCAGCCTGCAGTTTTAGAGTTGAGTAGTCCTGTTGGTTATTATGTTAATATGAGTGTTTCAATTGAGTCTAGAAACCAAGGTTACCTCCAGAGACTTGACTTTATTGATTTTTTCTAGTTTTCCCAAATAATTTCAGCTTAGCTGCCCAGTAAGCTTTTTAAAGTTTGTTAGTTTAGTTTTGGAAGTGTTGTGAATGTACACAAACATCTGTAACAGTACTGGCCGCAAATTCTTTGGCTTATAAGCTTATGCATTAAGTCATCAATGACTATAGTTCATAATTTTGGTGACAGTACATTCCCTTGAGGACACCTCTTATTTGACTTCAGGTTTATGGCACCTTCATTTGTATCTGTGGTATTATTCTCCTCTGAAGCATCTAAATAAACTACTCACATGTTGTGTTATTGATTTTCTTCTTCATAAGTGTACTAGGTATTGACTCGATAGAGGTATTATCAAAAGGATAATACAATAGGATATATATCATCCAAGAGCAAATGAAAATTACCCAACCAGGTAATTATATTTTTCAGCTGTCATGATTTACCACTCAGAAGTCCACATCGTTAGATGTTGTCTTACGGATTAGTAGAATAGGAAAAAAAATATGAGATCATACATGCAATCAAAAATATTGTCATATTTTACATATTACACCTAGAAACTTATCTTGGCAAAAATATAAATGATTAGAATTTCAGAATATTACTTTAGGTTTTTAATTTTTTTCAAACTCATTTACAATGTCTAGATTATAAAGATGCTCAAATTTCTATTAACTGAGAGAATGCGATAGGCTGAGGAAGCGGGTAGTGGGCCTAATAGAAGAAGAACTTTCTTTTTGGAAATTGCGAAACGGTCCATAGAAGTTTAGACACTGTGTGTTACTGTTATCGGGCATTTCTCCAAGAAGGCTGATCACGAAGATCAAGGGGCGCAGGGCGGCGGTGAATAACAGCAGTGTGTTAAGATCGTCGCCTTTTAAATCAGAAACATATCAGATAACGATATACTTTTAGCGGCTCTTTGTATAAACGAAAAAATACAAGAAACGTAGGTGGTTGTGTAAAGATTGGTTGCTGAAAAACATACATCCGTTACGTACATTTATTAAAAGAATTGCGAAGATAATTTTAATTCCCATTTGTAAAATCTTCAAAAATTATTAATTTTATTTTTTAACAACCATTTATTAGTATCCGCTTTGACTTCTTAAAATTTATCAACCAAAATAGTCACAGCTTTTTTTCTAGCGGTTTTATTTTCCAAAGACACTCTTGTTCTTTATAAATGTCAAAGTAATCTCTTAAAAACTTTTAGCATCAAGTCGTTTTCGAAATTTACCAACAAATGATTATTTGTAGTCGTACTATTTTGTTGTTGTCACAACATACACGATCACATTTACGACCGAACCAACACGGTCGTACTGCTGCCACCTGCTGCAGACTGACTTGTTTGTCTGCCGTCAAATCGCGCTAATTTGGTCGAATGGTGCAAATACACTATCAAATTACATTTAATTTTGTAGCATTCGATAAAATCGTACTGCGGCGTTGAAACGTGAGTGGCGAGCGCAAGTAAGATCCTTTACTAAGTCTATTGCAAACTAATAGTTTGCAGAACATGAAAGACCAATTAGGATGTGACAAATGCATAGTCTTACCCCTAAACATCGACGTAATCGTCTTAACAAGAGAGAAAAACAAAATCCACAGTTTTTTGTCGAACAGAACGTGCACCGTACTGGTGGAGTTGTGTCCGATGTGGGGTGCCACTGATTATCATTCAAGGTCATCTCTCATCTTCGATGACAGCTCAGCGATACATACACTAAATTCTGCAACCTCATCTCATACTCTATCATCAGACATTTTAACAACAAATTTTTCAGCAGGTTAACAAAAGGCCACACATTATGAGAGTCTTCTAGACTTCGTAGTACTCCGTAGACTTCTCAGAACATTCTAGAGTTATTCGTTTGCTCTGGCCCCCAAGATGCTCAGATATATCCCCAACTGAATACGCGTGGCCAATGATGGATCGGATACTTAAATAGGGCATGGAACATGATATTCCAGGAGGATATTAACCATCGAATCAGAAGCGAGCTCAGGTGCATTAAAGTGTTGGTGCCTACTGGGATGCATCAACATATTATTAATTAATTTATTCCTGTAAGTTTTTTTATTTTGCTACGCTGTATAATTGTACAAACTATTTTCAAAATATAGTAATTTATATTGGGGATTAGGATTTCTATATGACTTACTAAATAAGGCTTCTAAAACGAAAGACCAAGATCAAATTAAAGAAACTGTCAGGAAAAGTGAAGAATTTTGGAAAACACCTATTGGTAAAAAAAGGGAGAGAGTGAAGAAAAAAAGAGGGAGATAAATTCCTAAAGTAAAATTTAAGAAGGTACCTATATAACCTATTTAGTAAAAGCGTTTTTTTATTTCACAAAACATACTAACAAATTTTTTGGCTTTTTTACCTAATTCTTCTACTTTTTATATACGCAGATATCTTCGAAATTGTAGTGGGGGAGAACAAAGGCGGGTATCTCTAGCAGCCACATTGGTGCATAAACCAGATCTCCTCATCTTGGATGAACCGACTGTTGGACTAGATCCCTTGATAAGAGAAAGGTAAATATGTTGGGCATTTTGGCTCATATTTTGTGTACAATGAAAGCTGACATTTACTAGGAAGCTTGGTGTTTATTTGATCGTGGTAAATGGTAATACATTTTTTTCACAGGCTTCTTCTAGTTGTGAGGTATTATTGCCTTTTGGTAATGTCACCCATTATTGCATGCATTTCTAGACAAATCTATTACTTGCTAGGATTTTATTCAACGATACCGGAATATGTTATTATATTTTCCGATTTCGTAATGCGGTTATTTTATTTTCGGTTTATTTAAAGAACAAATCTTAATTTTTTATAAAATATTTTAAATTGTTTAAAAAGAGAAGCTTTATTTTTCGTTTTTAAAAAGTTTCTAACATCAAAAATAAACGAGTTACGCTTTTACCATAAAGTTGGTCCTTTTTTGGTCAAAGCTGGACCAAAATGTTTATTTTTGAAAAAAATTAGTTTTAAAATAATTTTTTTTCATTTTAATAAAATGCCTCTTTTCCAAAATAAGTGAAACAGTATTCAGCAGATCTAGGGTATTAGGCTATTGACATATAAGTGCCAGTTCTGATATTTTACTGAACCAGTGAACTCAAATTCACCGCTCTGCGAATAATCCCTGGTAGGACAATTGTATCCACCGTATAATGACCGAAGCACGCGAAACTATCCACAAAGCAGAACACTCATTTTGATAAATCAATATTATCATTTGCACGTGTTGTTATCGGCTGTATCCATTCGTGGTGATGTTGCAAAATAGACTGAAAACATGAAAACCGATTTGACATATGTAGCTTTAATAATATGGCCGCTAAAAGCTGTCAAACTTTTGATAGCTCTAATTTCAAAAAAAATTAAAAATCAATTCAATAAAAGATAAAATGAGAAATAAAAGAATAAATTAAATTTTAATCTCGAGATTTTCTCGTCTTTTAACTTTTTAACTTTTGCAAGCTTCAATTTTTCATTGTTTAATCCAAAATTCCACTTTTTGTCGTTTAGCTTGAAGACGACACATTGTTTATTCCCTAATTAAGTGAGTAAAAAATTTATTAGTCCATTTTTGCTTTTTATCGATTTATACAATACACTATAAATCTTTAAGTAGCATAACACAAAACAATATAGTATTAGTATACCTACGAAGTACCCTGTACTATAAGTATAGTATGAAATTAATATTAATATTAATTGGCGTTAAAAATTAGTTCAAATCAAGTTAGCGAAATATATTTGTTGGATTAAACCTCTTTTAGACTATGTTTTCCGATTGATTTCGTGTTCAAAATCGCTTCTCACTATTAGGTTCCTGCAATTTCGAACTCAAACGAAAGAGATTTTTGATAATAGGGCACGTAAGAATATTTAGGAATAAAGCCCAAAGTTGCTTGATAGAAAGAAAATGCTCTCGGAAATTTAAGTAAAATCGTGTTACATTCACATTTTATAAACTTCTGTTCTCCTAATCATTGGATGTTCGAAATTGCTCCTCCATGATTGAAGGAAGCTACGTGTACGCCCCCATCCGATGTCACGGATTGACTAAATCCGCAAAGTATGCGATTATACACGTTGTTGTTGTACACTGTTATAAAGATTTAAGAATGCG